TGCTGGTGCTGGGGTGCTGGTGCTGGTGCTGGTGCTGGTGGTGATGATGCTGATGACGGTGGTGGTGGTGATGGTGGTCATGGTGGTGATGGTGGTGACGGTGGTGACGGTGGTGATGGTGGTCATGGTGGTGGTGATGGCGGTGGTGATGGCGGTGGTGGTGGTAATTAGTAATGGTGGTGATGGTGGCGATGTTGGTGGAAGTGATGGTGGTGATGGCGTTTGTGGTGATGGTGGTGATGGTGGTGATGGTGGTGATGGTGGTGATGGTGGTGATGGTGGTGATGGTGGTGATGGTGGTGGTGGTGGGGGCGGCGGCGGCGGCGGTGGCGGTGGCGGTGGCGGTGGCGGCGGTGGTGGCGGTGACGTTGGTGACGGTGGCGACGGTGGTTGTGTCCGCACGCTGTGGCAATTTTCTCCAAATTGCTCCTGAGCTAACAGGGTGGCTGCTGCAAGCGCCATGCTTGTTCAGCAGCAATTTTCGTATCGACCGATTTGCGAGATGCTCCGCATGGGAGCGCGATTTTGAATGAAGAACCGACGGAATTTTGAGGATGCTCCGCACGGGAGCGCAATTTTCGTCAAAAAATTCAGAACGAAGTGAATTTGCAGCATAATTGCTCCTGAGCTAGCAGGACGGCTGCTGCAAATGCTTGCCCAGGAGCAATTTTCATATGGACCGATCTGCGAGGATGCTCCGTACAGGAGCGCGATTTTTGATGAAGAAACGACGAAATTTTGAGGATGCTCCGCGACTCCGCACGGGAGCGCAAATCTATTCAAAATCTTCAGGATGCTCCGCACGGGAGCGCGATTTTGAACAACAAAAAGATGAAATTCTGAGGATGCTCCGCATGGGAGCGCGATTGTTCTCAAAATGTTCAGGATGCTCCACACGGGAGCGCGATTTTATTCAAAATTTTGAGGATGCTCCGCAGGGGGGCGCGATTTTATTCAAAATTTCGAGGATGCTCCGCACGGGGGCGCGATGTTTCTCAAAATTCTCAGGATGCTCCGCACGGGAACGTGATTTTTTGCTAAATTTTCAGGATGCTCCGCACGGGAGCGCGATTTTGAACGACGGAGTCGTGAAACCTATACCGAAGCTATACCGGAGCGCTCCGCTCTTTTGAACCAAGAAAAGCACCTCGAACGAAGTACACCGGGACTCGTTCCGTATAGTTTTGGTATAGACTTCCTCGACATCATCGTCCATGCATGATGAAAATTTTCCGAACGCTCCGCACGGGAGCGTTATTTGGATAGAAATTGATGAAGATAAATTGACGAAATTTTGCGAATGCTCCGCACGGGAGCGCAATTTTTGAAGAATGAAGACGAGAAAAACGCAAAGATACGCGACTGTCTCGAGCGGGAGCGCGATTTTTGAGTAAGCAAAATCTGGAATTTTTGAGGATGTCCCGCACGGGAGCGCGATTTGTCAAAATCGGGGCGCGACCCGTTGAGTTACAGACCCCTCTAGCAAGACTACTTTAAGGCAGAGCGGCCTATTGTTGAGATCGAAAATCAACATAGAACGACAATTTTTTGAGGATGCTCCGAGCGAGAGCGCGATTTTTTGACGATTTAGGGCACGTCCAAATGGTTGGGCGACGGAAGAGCACGCAGGGATGGCGGGCGACAGCATTAAAAATTAGAACCCCGCAGTGAATGTGGGGAAATAATAAGAACTCATGAATACTGATCAAACATGAGATGTAAACCATGAAAATGTCGAAACATGCTGAAAACTAGTGACAACATTTGAAAATGATCAGCACTGCTGAAAATGACGAAAACTATGGAAAATCATGAAACTGATCAAATATGATGATGAACTTCGAATATTATGAAAACAACGGTGATGAAGGAGAATGAGCCATTATCGAAAATGATGCACAATGACAGAATCCAGGACATGACGAAGTAGGATGACATGCGATGGAAACACACTAGATTAAAATAAAATTTGTGGCGCACATGACGGTAGATGATAAAATGCCATGCGCCTTCACCAAAAATCATTAAAAATCGAAACAAGTCGTGATAATGAGGAAAAATTACGCTAATACTGAGAAGATGAAATACCATGAGAAATAGCCAAATTTCACGGAACACGATGAACAATGGTGACAAGTGATACACAACGAGGACAAATAGTCAAAAATGAAAGGAATATGATATGATGACAGATGCTTTCGTGCATCTGCTTTGTTGAAAAGAAAGACCGGGCGGGTGGCTTTGGGGGAGGGGGCATTTGCAAAACGTTGCCGTAGATTAGAACATGTGCTCTCCCCCGATGGTTTTGATATGTTCTGATCTGGCTATAGTCAAAGCAATACTTCTCAGAACGAGAACAGACAGAACAAACAAGTTTTCAAAACCTCTGCATACTGCCCTTGTACCTTTCCTGTTGTTAAAGAGTGATTATGACTAATCTGGGATTGAAAAAAGATGGAGACTGATGAAAATCTGAGACATGATGAAGATGGATGAAATATGAATAAGACATTATGCAATATGCCAAAAAAAAACATGTAAACTATGGAAAAATGAAAGCCTGCCTTCCCGGTAAGGATCCTGCGAAAATGTGACAACGCTCCAAGCGAGAGCTGGATTTGTCGTTGGAATTCGACGACTCTGCAGTAGGTAGCAATTTCAAGCCAGAATGACAGGAGGTACCCCTGCTGCTTCAGCTAGTTCGGAAAGTCATGCAGCACTTTGGACACTCAGACTTGAATGCTGAGGCGCATCAGCAAGTATCGCCATCGCATGTGACAGTTGCGTTGGAAGAAATCCTGCCTCAGACATGGAGACAACGGCACACAATGTCAAAAGGAACCAGCTACAGTGGTCGTGTTATATGCTCTGGCCTTGCTCTTCACAAAACTCTGCCACATGCCTTGACGCACTAGCTTAGCACTGGCTTGCCGTGTATGCTTGTGCGGCCTCAGTGCAGTGGCAAATTGGGATCCACGCAGTTGTTGAAGTTAAGGGATGTAGCGAAGAAGTCGCAAGCCAAACGTCCTGTCACGACGTTCACCTTGCCGGTACTAGCAAAGACATCTGCTTGGCAGGCCTCTTGCTTACAAGAATAAAGAAGCGATTGGTAAGACAAGCCCAACAGCACCAAGAAGTTGGAACAGCGTCAAAACATGCCAAGCAAATGAACCTTAGCTCTGAGTGGCTCGGTCGCTTCCAGGTCCCTCCCACCAGAACCACGAGTACAATGACATCGCAAGTGCGTGTGCCAAGGACGGATGCTTATACCTTGGCAAGCAGGAGGATGTAGATAGAGGGGCCAGCAATTACGCGATAATGTGCACCCGACAACCGTGACCGGCTAAGCAATCAGGCAAACACAACAGATTGCAGGTGTGCATCCTGATAATGTTCTCACTGTACCCCGAGCGCAACGCATTATCTTCTACACAAATATGCAATGATGAGCCTGGCCGCGCATGCTCTACAAGCCTCCACATCTGATTCATCAGCTGATCCCATCTGACAGGATCGAAGCCTCCTCATCTTGCGGGCACTGCTGCGAGCTTCAAGATGTTGGCTGGATGCTACAGTGACTGTAGGTTATACTAGAATAGCCAGATATCCTGAAATGTCCGCACATTGCGAGATGGGCTGTGTCAGGGGGCTTGTCCTCTGATGTCCCGGCATTGCAGGCCCCCATCGTCGACATGAACACAATCTGCAGACTGCACGGCAGAGAAAAAGGCCCGCTCGAATAGCCTAGTGCCAAGGATCACGGCATTTAAGCTCTAGTCATGCTTCGGATGCTGCATGCTGGCTTCTAGGTCAAGCAATTTCAACTACTATGCTAGCTGTCCCAGGCACTTGAAAATAGGCTGATCATTCTGTTGGTCGTCTGTCCGTGACAGAACCAAGCCATCTAACATCAGAGTGGATGGATCCGAGGGATCCCCGACGCTTGGCTGGGAGCCGACCGGCCTTGGAATGCAAGTGAACGAAACGAGCAAACACGAGGCACGAGAAATGGAAACCCTAGTGGTACGCAGGGCTTGCTTGAGTCCGCTAGCCGTGAGCTAGGGCTGGGTGTGCTGACTATGTCGTAAATGACCATCGTCCCCGCATGGTTGCGCATTACATGAGTATGAATGGTGCCCTGCAAACACCTGCGATAGTTTTCACAAACTGCCTTCGTGACGGGCGGGTATCTCAACACTACCAAGGTGTGCTTTCTACCTCCCCCCTCCCCCTTGCAATCCCACGACACAGCTTGTGCGTGGGAAGTCCCTCCACGATCCCAACATAACCCTCCACAATCCAACAATTGCAATCTGGGGAACTATGAGGACCAGGGCCCCTCGAGCTTCATCATGCACGGAGAAAACAAAAAGCAGTCGCAATGAGGACAGGAACCTGAAGACAAAACCCTTTTGACCTCTGCCGGGTGGCCATGCCAACACCAGCCAAGCAAGCTGGTGGGCCAGGTGCCAAGGCATGGTTCGCAAGCGTCCAGCGCATCAAGTGTTCGGATACCGTGTGAGAATACTTACGAGATCTTGCTTACACTCTGAGGGATTCATGGGCTGATCGGCCTGTGCGCACTTGAAGCTACCCTTCAAAGCTCCTATTAAAAGGCATTTCCTCCCTCAGGATTTCCGATCATCTCTTTGCTGCTGCTTGGTAGTTCCGCACTGCAACGAGCACAAACCTGTCTACTGTCCGCTAGAACTCTGGTCGCCTGTATGACAATATATCACAATTAATCTGGCGCTTTGATCCGATACAAGAACTGTACAAGTATGCTGCCAGTATGCTAGCAGCAGAACTGCACTTGCCCGCCTGTAGACATGTGCTTTGCATATTCCCCACACCAAAAACTCAGACTGATGTCTTTTCTCAACCTGCGTTTTCCTCTCGATCCTCAACTCTTGTAGATTACATGCCGCAGATGTCGGAACATGTCCTCTGATACAACACATATCTTCCTGAAGCCGACTTGGATGGTACATTCGATAGGACTTCTTATCAAGCTCTAGCAAGCCAGCGAGAACACATTCCGTGTGCTGCGAGCCTCCCACGCTCTTTCATAGCCTTGTGGCCCATTTAGGCCACAGTGCACAGGCAAAACATGTTGTCAGAGAGGAATGCCCGCAGGCGAAAAGTCCACTGCTAATTGCAGATCTCATCGACACGTTGCATTTTTTACTCACTCACGGCATGGGTTCCGCAGCCCATCGACTGCTACCTCTATGCCAGATCCAAGTCAAACTCAGCCTCACTCAGGTGCCTCTAGGCCAGCAGCAGTGGCGGAACAGGTGCCAGACCCATCTCAGTCCGTGTGGTATGCCAGCCAACCACCAGCAGCAGCTGTGAAATCCTTGGCTGAGGCACAAGTCTCGAAGCCAGTGGAGCTGAGTTGAAGAACTGAACCGCCTGTGCCACGCTGCGTCGGGGGAGTGATCCTGCAAACTGGTGCAAATGGTCTGCCTTCGATGGACGTTTGATGAGTTCTGCGGCATCCAGCGGGTTCCGCGAGCTGCAGAATCCCCAGGTCAAGCTCTAAAAGTCAATAGAACACCTATATGAGCTGCTTGCTGGGAGTCGGTAATGCCACACGTAGCATGAATCCACTCATCCGGTAGAAGCAGCATCTCGCCGGGAGCAGTCACGCAAGTCAGCGTACCTTCCAATGACTTTCTGGTTGCAACCGTCAGCACACATGAACACTGCCAGCGAAGAGAAGGGGAGTGAAAGGTTTCGGCTGCTGCTACAATGCTTCCTTGAAAAGGGCCGCTTCAGTCTGCCGGCGCATGTGCTCTTTTACAAGTTTCGAAAGCCGATGACCCGTGCCACCCGAAGATCAAGGCCTGGTGGGGGCGTCGCCTGGTTCAGCATTGCACAGGCGTTGGGGTACCGAAAAGCCTCAGACATTTCTGCACAAGATCCTGCAATTGGATCGCCTGTTTGTGCTGCAGGCAGGTGACAACTTGTCACTTTTAGCGGCGATGCCTGCATTCTACGGTTCGGAAAGCGAATATGTCTAGTTTCTAGTCAACAAACCGATGCTAGTCTTGGGTCTTCTGTCTAGGGCAGAGCGTTATCTTCTCCTCATCGTGCCCTATCGAACCTCCAAACGCCAGATCAGCAAGTCATGTTGATGCTTGCAGAATGAAGGAACCGATCCATCCGGCAGAAGGGGTGCTGCTCCCCACCTCTGCCCTCCCTCCTCAGTTCATCCGAAAATGGGAAGATCTAGCATGCCTTGCCCTGACCTCCTAGTTTGAACAAACAAACGATCAAAATTCATCTTGTTCGCGCGAGTGTCTGGCCAGTTGTCCTCAGTCGTACAATGTTGTGCTGTCATTAGAGTTAACTACTGCCAGCTGCAGTGAATCATGATGGCAAGCATAATGTGATTCCTGGAGTTGCTACCGCTAAGTCAGCCGGAATGACCAAAACATGCACAACAATGTTCTAAACCTCAGCCGCTTTGGTTTACAAGGACTTTGCGTGCAAGCCTTCTGTGTCTGCTAATGTAAACCCATCGGAAAGGAGCTTTGACCCAACCCGACTGCTGCTCATGGAAGCGAAGACTCGCTAGACTTGTAATTCGGCGGGAGCAACCACCACCTTGGCTGCGGTAAGTTTCCCTTAAACTGCGTCTGTTATTGTTACGATTCTTACTACTACAAAGTGACTGCAACTATTACGAGTATTACTATTACTACTATTAGTATTATTACTACTATGATTATTAATCCCTTCCCCTAATACTAAACGACGTCCCCCGCGCATAAAATTAAACGATCCGGCCCCGAAAAATTATTTGACATTAGGAGTGTAGATTTTTTGAAGGAATTAGATAGGGCTGCCTTTAAAATCCATTCGAATTCCATGCAAAATGAAAACTTAATCACATACGTTAATTAATGAAATTGAATACTCAACTAAAAACTTATTGAAGTCGACTGAAAATCCCTTTAGGGTCCATTGAAAGCTCGTTAAGATTCCAATTAAAATCAAGTGAAAACGAATTAAATTCAAGTTAAAATCAACAATGTAAACCTAATTAAGTTCCAATTAAACTCAATTGAAGTTCACCAAAATCGAAGAAATACCTTTAAAATCAATTGACATCTAATCTAAATCCATTTTTAACAAAAAAAATGCAATCGAGTTAAAATCCATTTAAAATCAATTGAAATTTATTTAGAATTCCATCAAATATCAATTGGAATCGAATTGAATTCGAGTTAAGATCAACTAAAACATAAATGAATTCCATTTAACATCTAATTGAGATCTAATTAAGATTCTATTAAACCCAATTGAAATCGAATGAGGCTCAATTGAGATTTAATCAAATGCGGCTAAAATGGCAATAACTTAATTCAAATCACATTCAGTTCTTGTATATAAAATCCTCGATTAAAACCATATGCAAAACAGTCAAAACCTAGGAAAGGAGGGGATGCCTAATTCCTTTGCATTTCTTCTTATACCCCCTAATGACCTCAAAATCCTCCTAATTCCTTGTTAGGTGGCACCTTTAAAAGTAGTCTTCCCCTTTCAAAAGCAGTCTTCTGGATTTTAGGCCCCTGCATCTTGCTTAATATTAGGGTGGTTTTAATATTAGTCGTAAGGGATAACGTCAAACGGCGAGGGGCATCTTGTGGCCTTCGACCTGGACGTTCCAAACTGGATCGTGGCTATGGAAGCCATGCGAGCTTCCTGATGCGGCAAACAGAGACATCTCAAACGCTTGCTTGGAGCAGCTGCGCAGCTGCTTTAAAGGGACACCACTGCCAAGGCTGCTGCATGTCAAGGGAAGATGTCAATTGCAATCCGAGGTTCCCAAAGCATCTATAGCCACGATGGCCATGCACTCCTGCGCGCGCTATCCGGGCACAGCAATTTCACGACCTTCAAGCTCGATGCACGCTTGGAAGGGCGCCTCTGGTCCAAAGGCAAACTCGGGGCTCGGAGCAAACCTTGAGTCAGACAGCATAGTGATGACATGCGCCACTATGGAAACCGCCACAGGCTAGCAGATGCTAGCAGCATTGAGCAGCGAAGGGGGTACAAGGCATTCTGTGCCAAGCAGCTGTTCTCGGATTGCATCCACTGAATGCTTCAGCTTGGCGTCTTCTTCTTTGCAGCCTCCCTCGCTCGCAAAAAGAAAAATATTCTGAGAGCTCTCCTGAGATGCTGCGTAAACTTTGGCGTGAACTTCTGCTGTCTCTACAGTCGGGCCACGAATGGCAGAAAAGTGAGGTTCTGAAGAGTGGACAGAGGGTCCAACAGCACAGAACATGCCGACATGCTTTGTGGATACCTAGCTGTTTCGCCTTGCAAACACATGAAACTATCCCCCCCACGCGCAGGCATTGAAGACAGTTCCGAGCTTGGAACTTTCAGAATTAAAGAGGACAAGGCTGTCGAATCCGATGGTTTCCGAACCGCTCCTTGTTCCCGGCTGTTTTGGATGTTGCCGTTGGATTTGCCTGTGAGCAGCCCCATCAGACCTAAACTTCCAGGCCTCTTCCTGACAGCACAGGAAGTGTTGAAGCTTCATGGCTTGACACATCCTGGTGGTTCCGTGTGGTCTGCAGGCGCAGTAGCCCTGCCCTGTGATGTTGAATGAAAATAGGAACTTTGCATGCACCATCATTAAGCTAAGACATTGCGAAAGCCAAGGCGCATTGTGTGAAACATAATCATCAAGAGATTCCCACTGTTCCATTCCGATCAACCAATCGGGGTAGTTGAAAGTAAACCTGAGCTGCCAAAGCTACTTGCCTTCAGATTGTGCAAGCCTGGTTTAGGACGGGCTTTCATGCACAGCCATATCTTACCAGATGTGGGGTTGGGAAGTAGCTGCGCCATGTTCTCCATAGGCCAGTCTCGGCACTACATTTAACCTTGTAGTACCACGGAACTACTAGCATAAGGTTTATGCCCGGGTCCAGCATCTCATCCACACAATTACACACATGCAAGGCGGACCCCCCTAATCACAATAGATTCTCACATCTTTGCAGGCTCGACTGCTCAGGCTCGGCTGCGTCACTACTGACAGCCCAAAGCAGAGACTGCATCTTATGGTGATGCCTGAAGGGGTCGGATGGGGTCCGACAGGTGGAACCGTTTAAGCTGGCACGAAGGGCCTTTGCGCATGCTGCTTCACGCTACCCGGCTGGACCAGATGCCTCAAAATGCCAGACACCTAGACTGTCAAGTCTGAGACACATGTCTCCGATCCATTTTAAGAAAACACTGAAAAGAACCCGACATGAATCCTGGCAAGCACTTTCAAACACCGGTAATCTCAACCTGCGGGAGGCAGACTTCTGCCAGGGCAGGCTGCCCATGCGCTTCGCAAGCTCATCCTTTCCTTCGCAAAGGAAGTCAAGAAAGAAGTCCGGTCTTCAGTCTACAGAGTCTACAGCGTGCAAGTTGCTCTCGCACTTGGACGAAGGAACCGCAAGTTGCTGCCAAGCAGCCCCAGTGAGTAGCTGCCTGCCAGCCCAGCTGCTTTGGAACATGCCCCGTCACCAGCACGGGCGTCTCTGCCAGCATATCGTTAAATGAGAAGTGCAGGTCGTAAAAAGCTTCCTGCTTTTTCTTCCCGCTCAATTTGCGAGCATTATTATCAGTTTCTGCCAAATACTTGTGCCATTGCTGGTGAACCTGGTCCAGAGTCATCCTCTTCAACTCGGGACATCTCTCTTCCACTGGTAGATCCTTTACTTTCGCGAAGAATGCCGCAGCATCTGCACGGTAGTCTGCGGTGTCAACAACCTTTGCATGGTGGTGAGTGTGGCGGTCCAGGTGGAAGGGATGTTTCTTCTTCACCTCAGGGCTTCTCACCTGCTACTGCACCAAGCACCGAATTGCTGAAAGAGACTTAACGCAAACAGTTTCCTTCCATTGTTTCAATTGCCGTCTTGCATGAAGCATCATGTCACTTGCGTCAAAGCACAGCAATAACGACCACCACGACGACAACCACAATGACAGCGACAGCGAGAACGAAAACAACAACCACAACAACCACAACAACCACAACAACCACAACAACCACCACCACCACCACCACCACCACCAACAACAACAACAACAACAACAACCACCACCGCAACCTCCGATCAAAGGACATGTAATGTATACGAGCTAGCCAGGGCTAAACTCACGTTTGCATTGAGGTTGCCCGTCCATGGGCGCAACTCCCACATAGGCACTGCTGACCCCATGCTTGCTTTGTCCCGCTGTTGTGAACAATTTGCTGAGCCAAGGATCCCCGCGCCGCAAATGCTGAGACTGCGATTGCAGGAGCGACGCATCTTCTGTGCTGTTCCACGAGCCTATGCTGTGCTGGACCCTATTTCCCTCTCCTGTGGACTCAGCAGCTCTTGGCTGCTGGACTAGCACTGGCAAACCAGTCATGTGCGATTGCGTACTGCTGCTTGGCTTCACGCTAAAAGGAAAGGTACACTTGCGAGTTACAAATGCCAGGCAAGCGTCGTCCATTGCAGCTGTCAGGCACTTTCTCGCTGAATGCTCTTCCCGATAGCGATGCACACGCGATACAAAGAGAGCACAGTCCAGGCAGCACCCTCATTCTGGCAGCTGTGCCGCCAAATCTGAGGAATCTAGCAAAGTTCGGTATCAGGAGCCTTGCAAGAAAATTTGCAAGCCTTTGTTTGAGCAACCATGGCCAACGGCAGAAGTGCAACAATATGGTGCAACATGTCTCAACAGCTCTGCACCCAAATCCCGATCAGAACTGCATCCGTCGCTTTCTTTGTTGCAGGACCGTGCGCATCATTGTGACGACCACATGTGCTGATACTTTGGCAGGCTGGGCCGTTTGTTGCAAACACCAACTCACACTGCCAGCAACGCGAAAAGAAGACTCAAGAACATCGCAATGACCACAGCCCTTTGCTTTCTCGTTTGGGCGGCTGCAAAAGCCACTTGTGATTACATCTTAGGATTGTTGTTGCTGAAGGCTAATTACGCGAGAGTTCTCCTAGCCGAAGCAGATGCTGAGCTAGCCAGGAATAGAATGTCTGACAATACCAGCCAAGGTGCCTCATATACGGGGAAGATGCCCACTCTTCCTCATATGATCGGGACTTAAGACATACAGGAGTGCTTCACCGCAAGGGCACTAACTAGCTGGGACAAGAGGCAGTGGTCGCAGGGACTGTTGCGGCAGCAGTATCACAGTTCACTCCAGGAAGATTGGCTTCTCCTTAGTTGCTGTAAGGCCGCATGCGAGGATGGACAAATCCTCAGAAGTAGCGTGCACTGCAAGGCCCCTGGAAACGTAAACTTTGCTAAAAACCTTTGCTTCTCAAGTCCAGCGTCGACGTGGCAGCATCTGACAGGCACCTTCCACGTGTACTTCGCTGCTACTTAGCGAGACTTACTTTGGGGGCCGCATGTGGCCGCATGCTAGAGCCTGGCCCAACTGGAAGCGATGACCCAGCTATGAGGCTATGAGGCTTCACAAGCATTTGTCATGAAAACTGTTTGTGCATGCCAACACTGGCAGGATATGGTACTTATCCAGAAGGCCCGTATTTCCTCCAGGCAGAGATGATGGCATGTTTTGAATGATTATCAGTTTTGATCCCGAGCTCGCTAGAGTTCTGATGTCTGGGGCCTGCTTGTGGCTGGCGCCTGAGCACTGCTTTTAGTAACTACAAGGACGTATGCCAAAAGAATCGCCATTTGTCCCTCTAGGGCTTAGTCTGGAAAGGCTCCAAAATTAGACGCTTGCACAACTTGCATGTACAACAACTTTCGGGAAAGCTTACAGCCATGGCAAGCATGGCTAACACAGTCCATCAGTGGGCGGGCCTTTTTCCGGGCCACTATGGACATTGAAATGTATACGTCTCATGATCACGATACGTATGAATTTTCCGGGGATGGAATGGAAGCCGCATAGAGGTCTACAATTGTTCATCGAATTGAGCCGGATATACGGATTGCAATTGCAAGCTGGAGAGTGATTGCATGGATGGCATGGACGACTTCTTCATCACAAGGCCTGGTGCGCTGCAAGCTGCTCCACGAGTTCAGCAGAGGCCGATCCTGTCGTGACGACCATCGCTGGACGGAAGAGCTGGCCTTGGCAAAGGGCTTTTGCGTTTGTACGGGGACATTCTCACAATTAAATGGCTCAGCTTTAGTTAAGGCTAGAGTTGTGACTGTTGTGTAGGATGCATGTGGCAGCATATGACGCTACCACCCGTGATGGGGAGTTGTCATGCTGTTCTGTGGCATTGCAAAGGCGGCGACAACAGAACCTAAGCATAAAGGGGAAGTAATTGGACAGTGAGATTCTTGCTGATGAAGGTTGCTAGAAACACAGGCGTTTATGTCTCTGCTGGTTCTTGAGACCCAGATCCTGCTGTGGCACCCTGCCGGGTTTTGAGCGGGTATTGGAAGGCTATTAGCGAAACACGTCCTTCACTAATCAGAAATGCAAAGGCCAGTTGCAAGCGCCCGCCGCAACAGGCCCAAAGTCCTGAAGCTCCGCTGTGGCGCCCTGTTACAGCGAAATGTTCTTGCTTGCTATCTCGCTGAGGCTATTTCAGGCGTCAGTTCAGGAGTATTGTACAGCTGCACAAACAGCTCTTTCGTGTGGTATAGGCACACATAGCTACAACGCCGCTGCTGCAGTTACAAGCACAACGAAACATGCCAGGAAAAAGGAAAATTGTAGCTTTAGATGTTCGTTCTGTTCCTGCCATGTCTCTTCGCATCTACATGTGAAATATTTGAGTTTGCAACTATCTCCCTCACATTCTGCTGCTGCTGCTGCTGCTGCATCTGCTGCTGCTGCATCTAGTCCTCTTGCTCCTACTGTGATATTTGCAATAAAATGGGCAGGGTGAGAATCATGTGGAGGATAAGGAGGAGCCTTTTCGTTCCGGCTGCAATTTGATCTGCTGTGCTGGTTGCATAATTAGCCACACTGGCAGTAGCGGTAGCGAAAGGCATAGTGCGCCCCTCCCACCAACTGCGCGTTTCTGAAACGGTTTGAGACCACACTTGTTGGATATTGATATTGAGATACAGGGAAGGGTGGGGGAAGGGGAGGAGGGAGGAAAGGGGAGAAACACTACAAGAACAACCATCTCAAAACAGTTCCGTGTTTGCCCTACGCGCAACTGAAATTAACTTTGCAGTCCGTAAACGCCCTTAAGCTTTCAATGGCAAGCAAAACCCAAGTCACGAGCAGTGCCTTAGAGAGGACGCTTCAACCCTTAGACCTGCTTACGTGTAGACTAATCAAATTCCAAGGGATGTCCCTTCTACCTTTACCCTCAGGATTCCAGGGCTTCCGTCTGTGAAACTTGCAGCAGCTGTTGCTTGGCAAAATTAACGAAGACCCCTCCACAGGTTCGGCCTGCTCTTCGGCGAAATGTAGCTGGTAGCAGGGCCGCCAGCTAATTTTAAAGTAGCGGTAGCAGCAACAGGGGTGGTAGTGGCAGTGGTAGTGGTAGTGGTAGTGCTAGTAGCAGTGGCAGTGACGGTGGCTGTGGCGGTGGTGCTGGTGGTGGCAGTGGTAATACCACATAAAAAGAAGAAGAAGAATAGCAATAATGGCAAGAAAGAATCATAGTAATAACAATCAAATAATATAATACTGAGAATAAGGATGATAATCATAACTACAGCACTAGCAACTGCGACCGGCATCATTAGCTAGCACCATAATGGCAGTTCGCACTACTGAAGCCAAGCTATCATCACATGCTGCCGTTTAAAACCGTGCGTGGTTGAACGTTGAACCCTGGCGCCAAAATTCTGAAGCCTAAATCTCACAGTTGGGGTCCTGTCTGCTGACCCCGCCCTCAACTCAGTTCACAGAGCTGAAACATCTAAAAGCGTGCTCCAAAAGACAGGTGAGAGACCATGAAGAAGATGATCGCTTCACGTAGGTTGGTTGCAGATCCCGCACGTCCCATTGCGAGCATCACCGCCGCACATGTCTCGTTCCCACCGCTTTCTTTGCGCTCATCCGCTGCAGAAGCAATAATCTCTCCTTTTGCGTTGATTACCGCCGCATGGTGCCCAATCTTCTGAAGCGCTTCAGTGATCTTGTTCACAAAGATTCGCAGTTCCCAGTTCTCCTGCAAGCGCCTGCTGAGCCCCAAGTCACCTGGCGGGACCTCACCGATATCCGCAGCCCAATCCCACGGAAAGCGAGTGGCAAATGTCTTCATCATGGACTGGGCGTAACTGTTCGACAGATTGACGATGTTCATGCCCTCGAGCTTTGCGAGCGCACTGGCACCGCCACTGAAGCTGCTGCTCTCCGCAATGACTACATGTCCTAATGAGCGCATGGCTGACATGCAAAGGACCCTCATGCCTCATGCATGCACGAATTCAAAGTCTTCGCCCAACGAAGAAGCCCCTCTTTGCGTTCCAAGCTGCGGAGCCCCAGCTTCCACAGCCAAGTCAAGGCTGATGTGCACATCACCTAATCGACAACGGGCAAACGGCAACTTTTTTTGGGAGAAGCTGGAGCCCTAGAAACAGGGCTAAACTTGAGTTGCAGATGGGGTGCACAGGGGCTGAGCGAGGTTGCAAACACAACCTTGTCCCAGTTTACTGCTGAAACATCGGGAATGGTCCTGATTGCTCCGGTCTCCTGGGTCAGAACACCAATTCATTCACGAAATGATACGTGGCTCGGGCTTTCAACTAGATTCCTGTCAGCATTGGATAGAACAAGTTTCCCCATGATCCGTGGGGTATCCATTGTCCAGCCGCTTTCCAGCTGGAGGAATTCGGCCATTGTGGCCAACAGCTATGACCTCTGCTGCCAAGAGGGGGGCTGCTGGCCAGACACCGGATTTCTGGACAAGAAACCCGAAGCTTGGCGTTGTCCATGCGCTCCACAGCCGCGCCAGAGATGGGTATTCTGCTGCTCACCTTCGATACATGGCTGAGCTGGAAAGACGTCCCCAAGCACCAAACTTCTCAATGGTTCTGCAGTGCAACCTGGTGGCCAGTGATTCGGAGGCTCTTTCCAGCGCCAAACGGGTGGCCTTGATAAGGGCAGCGAGTGGTGTTACAAGAGGTTGCCTTTTTGGTTCATGTGCTGGTTAAAATACGGGTGGCTGCACCATCGCAGTAACAGCTATGAACTCATTGGTTTACCACAATATGTGGTCCGAGAAAACCGCATCCCTTCCATGCTCTTGCCCATGCTCCCACCACCCAGAACTTCTCAAGAGCGCTGTCGGAGAGGAGCCTCAAGCCCTGCCGCCGCTAGCGGCCCAAGCTCCTGTTCTCAAATACAAGTTACAGTACAGTCACCAAAAACTTGGCATTGGTGCAGTACAGTCTGTCGTTTCAAACGACATGCGTTGTCATGTTCCTGGAATCTGCCACGAGCTCAAGACCGCAAGCAGCCTTACAACACGCCCACTGCCATCCCAGCAGTCATGCTATGTCCCACTCACTTGTACTTAATCGCTACACGCCTGCGCCCTCCCTCAGTGCTCCTTGAAGGACTCGATGTCCAGACCCAGCTTCTTTAGGGACCTGAAGCAGTTTAGGTGCCTTCATCAACCACTCAGCTGGACTTCAGCCTCGTCCCCACAAGAACAGCTTGTAAGATGGCGGCTGACTGGCTTGCAACTGACTCGACTGTGACCTGCTTGCCCTGCCAGCTGTTGCTCCAGCCCCGGTCGTCTTTGAAGCTTTTCGCGATGTTGCTGTTTTTGGCGTAGCTGTCCGAGATGCGGATGTCCGCGGTCTGGCTTTTCGTTCCGCTGGGCCCGCTCTTGCAGATCTGCCAGAGACTGCTGATGCCGGTCGCTTTCTCGGCGCCATGTTGCCAGGTGTTGGCGAGATTGGCGCAGCAACACTTCTCTTGTTATACAGCTACTATGTCTGAGACTTGTGCCTGCTCAAGAGGTTTCGAGCTAGGAGTCCTCGACACATCAGACACTTGTGTGTTGTCAAGTGCAGTTGGGCCCCTCGCCGACAAGCACGGGCGCCTTGAACCGGTACACAGGCATGTGGCGCGGACGCAAGAAATGACACAACAGCTCCCCCGTGCAGACCGTGAACAGGAAAAATCTGCTTGGCAGGTTTGACGGGAGACCCTAGCATTGGCGGGATTCCAGTCCTTTTCCGCCAATGCTCAGACGGGTTCGGATGTCTTCAAGGATACTGGTGAGCTGCGAAGCACCCGCAAAATCAGCATGCACAAGTTTCAGCGAGCATCACAGATATTGATGTTGCTCTGATTGACGCTGCTCCGGAGGCACATGCCACACTTGCTTAACAGTTCGTGCAAAGGTCCGGGATACATCGCAGGTTCTGGACCATGTGTGGTAAACAGAACATCGAGGTGGACGCGCAGCTTTCACTTGAACACTAACTCTGCCTGACCTTGGCAACCTGCCACACAATAAAGGTACTTTTTCATTGGGCATCAACACGGATTCAAATAAAACCCTCAAACTCCGGTCCACTTCTACTCATCCGCATCAAAGGAAGTCAGAGCAGGAACACCGGGAGGAATTGCCAAGTCTGGGCATTACCACAGTCTATATGATCTCTGCGAGTACCCAGCTCGTACCTCCCGGAGCCCTGAACAGTGCCTATGGAAGGATTCTCATCCACGAGAATGGCAGGTTTACGACGACTGCCTGTCCAAACCTCGGCAGACAGCACAAGCTTGCGATGCCAAATGCTAAATACCATGCCAAACACCACTCCAAACACTGTGGATAGGCGTCTGGCTAGCTCCCGGAGGGGCATGTGTAAATGAGGGCGGATTGGCTAGACAAGTCACATAGCTGACTAACAGGCATGATGCCGTCGAAATGCGCGAGACTATGCCGCAAATCGATGTTGGGCAGCGCAAGGCATCACAACAGTTGCAGCGCAAGCTGTGGCAAGCCAGCTGTAAGATCCACACGCTAGTCGTGCGCCAGCTCGTAATGCCTCATTTCCTCAGCACCGAAACATTGCCCCACCACGCGACACTCTCTTCCCAGGACTGCTGTGTTCCTTGACATTTGCCTTGCCATGCTGGCAGCTTTGTCGGCATAAGCCGCGTCAAGGCTGCGGCTTGTTGGTCTTCCATGGGGGCACACCCCTGGTCTGCTCCTCGCCACCCGCATTTCCATTGCCCTTGCCGCCTAGGCGAACGCGACAGGATTGTGGACCCGTTGCCCACTGACCTGCTCATACGGACCAACTGTGCATTGACATTCCTAGGGCCATGGCTACCACGCCGAGGGCCCTGGGTGCGCCATTCTGATTCCTTTCCAAGCTGAAGCAGGGCCACGTAGAACAACAGCATGTGGCAGGATACTTTTACTTGAAAAGCACGAAACATCAAAAGCATAGTGGGGGAGTCTACTAGGCGTAGTGGAGGTCAACTGCATCAATTTCAGTTCAAGCTTGCAATGCTCCAGCCAGACTCAAGCTTTGGAAGACCCATGTTGCTGCAAACTCGATGCTCGACGGCCTGCGGCTCGGCTGGCGCCTCGCCTCCTCCAGCCGCCTAGCATCAGCGAAACATCAAGGGACTTGCAGTGTAACAGTGAGCTCTGCTGGCGCCTTTCCGCGTTTCTTCTTGCCAGCAACGACGTTGCTCCATCCTGACTGAGAATGCAGGAAGCGCCTACAATGTTAGAGAGCCCTCTTGCTTCTGGTCTCGCACGTCATATTAACCTTCCTCTGGAGCCCATGGTGGGACCCCACCATGATGCCGGTTCAACACTTTTGGCACATGTTTAAGAATATGCAGGCACGCTGATAGTAATGGGCTTTGTTCTGCCTAATTCGCTGAGACGCGCTGCATGCATGACAGGGCTTTAGACACAATCATTGCTTCACCACGCACAGATTCCCTGGCACAGCGGCGGAGATTGTTCTGTTGTGGTTGTTGTGGTTGTGGTTGTGGTGGTTGTGGTGCTGGTTGTGGTTGTGATTGTGGTGCTGGCTGTGGTGGTGGTGGTGGTGGTGGTGGTGGTGGTGGTGGTGGTGGTGGTGGTGGTGGTGGTGGTGGTGGTGGTTGTTGTTGTTGCTGCTG